TCGGCGGTCTGTTTTTTCTTTTTTTAATAGTTATTTTTCATATATGTACTATGTTTGAGTGTTTATAATGAATATCATAAAAAATATCATAAAAAGCCATTTAATGATATACACTGGAATACAGGCTGGAGGACGCTATCGGGTAACCAAAACGAAAACTACCCGAATACGTGTGTACTCGACTCCATTCATTACATGGTTCATTAACACTAAGTCGTTTACGCGAATTCCATTGGCACTCTAATCCGGGCAAACGACCAAGTGTAATCGCACCATAAACGTGAACACTAATCATTGTTCGTGTGAGTACCGAGTTTGATTTTCGAGCACACCGTTTGCAATGACAGTTACTTCAAATACACAGCCACCTACTGGTGATCGCAAACACTTAGGTTTCCGTTTTAGAGAGAAAAAGAGTAATTCGAACATGATCAACGGCGGAATACAACTTTCGATCTTCTGCATCCTCGATTCGCGTCCATTCGTTGAAGAAACCTGCTGATCAACATTGACAAGGCTACCACGAACAGCGAATAGCTACAGTGAGAAACCCGCGGTCGGACACCAGCTTCCTCTCGTTACTTCTTAGCTTTTCGTCACCCGGTGCCATCTACCAAGAAGCCGTCTACTCAGCTCAAGATAAGTGGTGCTTTGTTCATTGTTTGGCAGAGACATGACAAACCTTGGGATAACTTCCCAAGTTAAGTAATCTACCTTGGATGTGTGGGACATTCATCCATCTTCGCTTGGTCTCATACAAACCGAGTCGGCGGAATTTCACTAATTATTTAGTGAACTTCCGCCGACTCGTTTTGATTTCTACCGAATTTTGTAGGTACCTTGATTCAGTCATCTCAATAATCGACTCACTCAACAAAATCTCAATAAATTTAACAGAAATTGGTGAAAGCTTTTGATCAGGTGCGTCATGACATCATATTAGAATTTGTCAGCCTATGGCATATCTGGCTCGTTATTGAAATGGTTAAAGTCTTATTTGGAGGGGTCGCTCCTTTTTTTGTCGTTATGAAAGAGTATAAATCTGCGTCGTGAATAATCACACCTGGGGTGATTTAATAAGTAGGTAGGTATAGTATTTCTATTCCACAGTGTGGAAATTCCAATTAAACACAACTAAAAGACAGGGGTAGGTATATGGGCAATACCTGATATATTTCGTATTTTTTTTGTACCTACTTTCGAAATAGCGATTTGTCCTCCTGTTTCCAGTAGTCTTACCGAGTATCAGGTACCAGTTGAACTACTGGGAATTTCCTTCCCAATAGACTTAATGATAGTGTTATTTCGGAGTAGTGTTCTGTTAAAATAGTGACTTGTCGAATGAGAATGATGTCGAAGTAGTTTTCTGGCGGACTAGTGACCAGCCGAATGTGTGATTTTTCGAAATATTGATAGTCGAATTTCAGTATAAAACTCATATTCTATACAGGTAACCCAATAATCCCACGAAGTTTCAAGAAAACATTCAATTTCACCTTATTTAGATATACCTACTTTTAATATTTATAGTTATATTTTATTTTTTAAGCATTTAACTGCTAGATATGTAAATCTAAAGAAAAGTTTACTAGAGAAAAATCCTCGCGGATCAGGTAACAGACGGGACTTGAACCTGCACCGTTCGCTATCCGGAAATCAAATTCCTTTAACAGAATTCATTTAATAACATCATTAGGTAAAAAAGATGGGAAGAAATAAAATGTCTGTCATTTTCAAAATTTAATGATGCAAATAATTTTATCAATAGTTTGGCAAAACACAACTTAAAGCCATATTTTCAACTTTTAAAATTACTCGAATGGGTTTAATAAGAGGTGAGGAGCGGTCTCTTAAAGAAATTAAAAAAAAAATAGGTATCTGCTAATCTAATATACCTAATACCTACGAGTATTTCCCACGATCCAATGTCATCATTGCTGCCGCTTCGGGCATACTAAGGCTCAGTGTAGATCAAAACCTTGGTGTTTTAAGTGTGGTCAGAATCATAGATGAGTCATGTAATATCACAGAAGATGCACTCTGTTGCTGGTGTGACTCACAAAAACAATGCATGTTCTCACACTATTTAATACCAACCTATAAAATGTAGTTACGTATTGGATTAAATTACTTATCATAACTGAATAATACAGTAATTATAAGCATCGATAAACGGTAAGGTCAGACAATAATGCTGAAGAAGGCATAGGTTATGTGGGGAGCTGTCTGCCTGGGAAAGTTCGCACCTAGAGTATTTGAAAGTGTGTTACATATGTTTCTTCCCGTTAGTTAGGTATGTTCCATTTCATTTTACATTATTATATTTTTTTTAATTAAATTAATACATTATTTTCGTGGCTTCGTTTCTTTGAATATTTCAAATTTAATAAATGGCTTTCACTATTTATAGGCTGTGCTTCTGTGTTTCCATTTATAGATACTAAAAAAGGCAAAAATAAACTATTTTATTTCTTTTTTTGCTGTTACATAAATCGACGAAAAATGGATTTTACGAATAATCAATTTGTCTAAGTTGTCGATTTGACCAATATCAGATTTGATGACCAATGTGGTAAGAACCTTCTGATAGCATAGTAGGTACAAAGAACGGACTGTACCGAAATATTTTTCTAGTCACACTAATCACATTAATATTAAAAAAAATGGTTGCCTGTAAAGTCGGTTTTACGGGCGAAGATTTTACGTGACAACGTCTTTTTCTCGGTAGAATATTTATTGATATGAATATAATTAAATTGCACAACAGGAACAAGGAATTGAATGAAAATAAGAATTGCACAAATTTTAACTATAGAAATATATTTTGTTTACTAAAACATTGTACATGTAAACTTAAACTTAACACGAGAGACTCATCGTAACGTTACCGAGCGTTACACTTTTTCATAAGTGACTCCCAGCCGCAACCTAATTTAAGACGTTGTCACGTCAAAAGGCGAAAATTAGTTTGGAGTATGTTTGTTATTTCTTCACGTCTAAACGGCTGGATCGATTTTAATAAAATTTGGTATGGAGTTAGCTGACACCCTGGATTAACACATAGGCTACGTTTTACTGCGGGAAAATATCTCTAATAAACCGCGGATAACAGCTAGTCAATATTATAAATTCGAAAGTGAGTTTGTTTGTTACTACTGAATGGATTGGATAAAATTTGGTACGCATTATGGCGCGATTACACTTGGTCCTTACTCGTTAGCCCGAAAACTAGATAGGTAGATTTCCTTTTGTTTATCCGACGTCGTCTTCCAGACCGTATTCCAGTTTAAATATTGTTTCGGGTACCCGAATTCGAGTAATGTCTTTCGTACACCCGAATACGAGCGACCAAATGTAATTGCGGCATTAGTCAGCCAACATTTCTATATTCAAATTGGAAGCGTATTACAGTAGAGCAGTTTACAGTTTAGATTATGACCTGAATAAAGACATAGTTGGGATTCTTTCTATTACGGAAAAATATTAGGTTCCTGTGGGATTCTCAAAAAATCAGCACTACGCCTATAATAAGTCCTATACCCTTAGTAAGAGTTTTACAATTACGAAAACTATGATAGTTTTCGTGAGCTCGCACTCGTTGTTTTTATTGTTTTCGTTTAAATGCAAATAAACAGTGTTTAAATTCTATCAGTTATGTTTTCTTAAATTTTAAGTATATTTGGACACTTTTCACTAAAATAGACATAGAAACATAATTCACAATTACGAAAACTACTTATTATAGTTTTCGTGAGTTCAAACTCGTACTAAGGGTACTGTCCTGAATTTGTTCGACAATTTATGGTCGATTTCTTCTTTGCGTCAAACTTTCTATAAATTATTGTCCGAAAACATTATTGTGTATGTATAAATGTATTAGCTAATTTAATTAATAAAGTACATTATTTAATTTACTATAACGAACAGAATGTTTGAAAAACCCCCAACCAATGCGGGGATTTTTGGATTTACTCTAGCGCGGCAGAATAACATAAGGGGGCACCCTTGCACCTTGTGAAGTATTCCATAATACCTGAGCCCCCTATGTAGGGTCGAACTACCTAACCAAATTAATTCCCTTTTTTCATTAATGTTCTTTTGTTATAGGACTTGCACCTATTAACTTAAAATAACTAAAGACCCCCGGGTGAGATTTGATGCGCTTTGGCACAGATGATCATGACTATAATACCTTTCAAACAAATGTAGTTTAAGCCGAGGCGGATGTGGATGCAGCATCCATACATTTTTGCCCAATGTCCTTTGGCGGTTTGATCGGGGGTAGGCTTGCCAGATGTCCGGCTTTAGTCGGACATGTTTGGCTTTTTGCGGTCGCGTCCTGTCAAATATGTACGTGTTTGGCCTGTCCGCCTTTTGTCAGGCTTTTTGTCAGAGTGGTGCTTCGTACGACGATGGGCGGACGAGCGTCCGAGCGGACAGAGAGCAACTGTTGGCGCGCGCGGCGCGTGACTGCCCCGCTGTCTGATATAATAAATATGTCCGGCTTTTAGGGCAAAATGTCAGGCCTTATATAGTGCGCAGTCCGGCCTTTGCATTTTATGGCCTGGCAACTCCTCATCGGGGGTGACGAGGAGCGCGTGTCATCGGCCTCCACTTTGAACGAGCGCACAGCGCATAGTTCTTGCGCTTGCACGTTCAATCTTGATGACGATCAGCGAATCGCAATTTGGATTTCAAAATATGAACCAATCCTTAAATCTACTTCGTACATCATCAATCTAGACCGTGATCGGGATTGGCTATTGTAGGTACGAGCTCCTCGCCATTGTGTGATCAGCGAATCCTCTTTTTAAGTGAGACAACAAACAAAGTGACACAACTAATATCTTTCCTAACTCAGTACCTACTTACTTGTGAAATGCAAAACGAATTTCTGTGGAATTAATACAGCGTAAATGAACTAGCTTTCTTCTACTACTATTGGTATTTTCGGTTATCCAAAAGTAATGAGAATAACTTGAAATAAATGAACACATATATTTATTTACACACTTTATTGAATTAACATAAAGAAAACAAACATGAATTATTGAAACGAACCTCAATGAAAGTAGGTATACTGTAACCGTAAGTACGAGTACAACATTTATAATTCATTAACATTAATCAATTTAATTCACAAAACGATTAGATATGTTGACAATTACAGTGATATTTGAACAAGAAAGAACATCTAAATTTGTTATGCGGAAACGTGAAGATAATTAAATACAGCTTAGTTCATATAAGCGTGATTAAGATCAAAATAGGTGCCAAAGGTTATGTTTACAGTTAAGTTGGGAATGCATTACAGTCTAATTATTCAATGCCGAGGACGCACACCTCTACAACAAAAGGTGGAATCATTCAGGTGAATGAATAAGTTAGTTGGGGTTCCACCAAAACAGTGACGTCATTGTGAAACCTCAACGAAAAATGGTTATGCCTAAACATTTTACCATAATAGATAGATGCATTGACTGGCATATTAATACTGCAAGGATAACCCCTACAACTCAACAAAAACACGCTTATATGAAATCAGTGTGTATTCTATTTTCTTTACATAAGTATCAATACAACTACCTATTTATCGTACTATGCCAGTTATGAGAAATACAACTTCGACAAAAACTATAAAGTAGGTACTGTGTTCGTGAGCGAGTGGTACAAAAAACTGATCTTTAAAATGCCTTATGAACAGTTTTTCTTTTATTAGACACAAGTGTGAGAATTTTGATATAAGTGGGCATTGTAAAAGATATTTACAAGTAGAATACGTAAGTGCTTATTAAATTTGTGGTGTGATGACTTTGTGGAAAGATGATCATATTAGTTTGATTGTATCTCCTACTAATGATAAAAAATTAAATGCTTATTAAAATTGCAATATTTATTTAGTGAACTTCCGCCGACTCGTTTATATAGATATACTTTTGATATTTTCATTCTTAACTATACTCAGTCAATATTAACTATAAACTTTAATTAATCTAAATTAATAATGAAACAGAATAAGGTCAGAGATAAAATTCATCAATTTATTAGATTGATTACGGCACAGTTTTTAAGGCATAGTTTGTCTATACAAATCTGACTATGCCATTACATACATCATACATCGGTTTTAAATACTACTACAGTAACTGTTTAACGTAACATATATTAAACAAATATATTTTCATTCTGAAAGTTGATTTTCAATTTGTAATAGCTGCTCTAAATATATTTCAGCTATTGTAAGCTTTAAAATACTCATTTCATATGTAGAATTATTGTAGTACGTTACTTTGAAGTTAATAAATCAATATATTTTACCCTGGTCAACTACTGTATAATAAATGATGAACAACTTGCAGTCTAATTTTTTATATGTAGTGGTACTTATTAGGGAGTGAAGCAAATATAATTATTTTTGAAATTGTATATGCTTAACAAATTACACAACCCTTTTTACCCAATCGTCTCAAACCTGTATGTGGATATACATTGTATATAATATAATCAAGAAGATAGCAAAATATGATTTGTTTATATCGTGCGATTAAAGTTTAATATGAATAATTCAAAGTACTCATTGACTTTGAATGCACATTTTAATCATACAATTCTATTGTGTTGTGATAAATAAGAAAATATTAATAGCCACATAATAGGTTATTGAATAAAGTGCAATAAGATTACCTATATTAAATGTATGTGCTATACGAAAATTTAAAAAAGAAGTTTTACATTCATTAATATTTGCTAAATTGAATTTAATTATACTACTATACAACGCAGTCTGACCCTGTTAATAAAGGCTAAATATCATAACGCGGAGTAGATAATAATAAAGTGGCGTTGCATTATATACCTACTTTTTAAGAGACACTAACACGAAGTTGTTTCCTCTGCAAGTAATTATGTACTTTTCTTTGTCAAAAGTTTAGCTTGACTTCGGCAATGTCTACTGAAAATAATTTAAGGTAATAATATAAAATGGCTGCTGCTACTCAAAACAATATTATAAAGTTAATTTTATGATTTGTAGTATGTCTTCAAAAGACACGTGTATTATTTATTTTATCCGACCCCAATATTATTTTACTTCCTCATATAGCGTCTTTTATTAACATTATAAATTATAAGCATGTTACATTACTGCCCTAAGCAGCAAGAATATTATAAAATATGAACATGTTATACCCACGACGAAACATCGTTATATCAATAGTACTAACAGACTATAAACAAAACAAACTTATTATTTTAAAAATTAGAAGCCTAGCTTACGTAAACATTCTGAAAATTGAGCAAATCAAAATAACAGTAACAATATTGAATCATAATAAATTCTATGAGTATAGTGTATATCGATTAATATTATAATAATGATCACCAATTATTTTATTCGAACATAACACCTACACAAGACAAATAAATGTATTATTCACTAATCATATTAATTATATTGCATTGTACTAAATTTAATATTAATTTATTGACAACACCAATGAACTAATACTTCTTTTTAGAGAAAGTATTTGCGTTACAATTGCCTTTTGTCGCATGCCATAAAAATATATATATAACCCACGTTCAAGGTGCACGTTCGACTCGTGTCTATAGCAACAACGACCTAGGAAGCGTGCACTATCACTACTAGCTGCGCCTGCGCCTACGCATCACTGCTCCAGCATCCTCGCGGCTTCTAATCTGACGTAGCTAATGGCACAAAAGTGCCATCCAAACTTTAATCACAGCTATGAAATCTCTTCTCTTTATTAAACATACTACTTTCAATTTCTCTTTAGCTCTATAGATTAATTCTATTTATACCTGTGTGATACTTAATTTACAAAGCTCTATACATTGTCTTAATTGCAATTTATTATACTATAAACAATTGATTTTATCAAAATTTATTGCTAATTTAATTTAGCGAGACCACATAAAAATAGTTAAAACTTTGAAATACACGAACAAAAATAAATAAAGTACTTTTTAACATTTATACAAAAACGAAAAAAGACACACCAATTGAAATTAAAATTTTGACTAGCACTATATTTTAAAATTTCATTATTTGTCTTTAATTTCAGAACAATTTGACTAGCATAATTCGACAATGTTAACAAAAATAATACTTAAACAAACAATAAATCATGTTTGTCGTTTTCTCAAATCCATGCATAAATTTAGACACAACTTTGGCACAATCATCATTTTCTCTTCAAATGTCATAAGTATAAGATATTGAAAGGGAAGACTTGGGGAAAATATGTCATAGGGATATGTACCGAGACAAAATTTGTATTTCTAATTTTAAGATTCTTATACCTAGGGTGCAAAATTAATAAAATATTCAGTGGATTACGTCAATACATGTTGCAAGTAAAATCGTCATTAATCTGACAGATCTCCTAATATAAGTAAATGTTCTTTATTTAACTACATCGAGGAAATTAAAATGCCTCATAGATATAAGTCACCAGTTTGGCACTGCATTCTGTCATATTGTGGCACTCGTTTACTTCAAGCAAATATTTTACTGGAAAGCTTTCAATACAGTGGTCCTAGAGTTATTCTTACTTCTAATTTAAAACTAAGTTTTTTTTATGATTTTTTTGGAAATATGTAGATTACCACAGGACTATCTATACTTTTGTTCTAATACTAAGTACAATGAGCAGTCTGGAGAGGGTAATAAAATAATTCAAAAAACTGTCCTACGTTACTCCACTAAACATTAACTACTCAGAATAATTTAGCATAAATCCACAACATTATTAGTGTTAAACAAACTTCAACAATCTTTGGCTTTGATCCCTAGACCAATATTTATTTATTCGACTTTTCCAGTAGCCGATGTACACAATGTGTATATTTGTAAATTAGAGATCTTATAGTTCAAATGTAAAATAAATTAGAGGACTATCACATTTAGCAACACTATTTTTATACAACTAACGTCTTTTTGTGATCATAGACGATTGTAAATGATATACTGCAATGTTCTCTTCCGCTTTTAATGTAAGTTCCTAAGGATTTGTTCCCATCGGTTTCGTATCGCCACGCCGCGCCCGTGCGGCGCAACTATTACTGTAATACCTAATTTTCTGCAGGTTATTACGATTATTTTATTTACAAATATTGTCTTTAACCCTCTCACTCTGTTCGCTAATCTAATACTACGCTACGTCAGCGGTTCCGAGGTCGATTGTAACGCATCTACACCTACTATTATGCAGACTCTCGTTTTATCTTACTTTGAACATTTTATTATATGTGTGGTCATTACTGCTCATTATGGAAAACAAATCCAATAGATAATTGAGTAACTCGACCGCTTAAATCCATAGTAAATTCGATCAGCTTAGCTAACTCCTGTTGCATACTTTGTCATTTATAAATTCATGAACCTGTGAACGGTGAACGAAACAAAATATTACATTCAACCATAGGTTTAAAAGATCGAGTTCACCGATCACTGGTTAGCAGAAATTTTCAAATCGTCAGTCATTTTTTATCTTCACCTTTATAATATGTTTCCGAAATACGTTTACCTCCCCCAATTTCTATTCCAATTAATTAAATACAGTGGAGAATAAATATAAGAATATCTAAAATACTTATAAACTTGTAACAAATGTAAACATACGTTCAGCACGATATCTAGTGATTTGCTTCCCTTCTCGACAGAGATTGTTTGGTCTTCGTATTTACTTGAAGAAATATATCGGAGCCAGATTTCCGTATTGCGGCTGCACATAATACGTTCTTTCATTGTACGTTTTGTAAGCAACGCCGGAATTCTGGCCGCGGAGCCCCATTCAATGGATCGGTGCTTTCACGATGTGGTTCGGAGCGATGTAGTGGTAGCCCGGCAGCGGCATGCCTGCAGTCTCCATCGTGATCCTGGAACATTTCAACACATATTCTCATTTGAATTCACGACCTCCCTTGCCATATCAAACTAATACAAAAATTTCATGTACTATACATAAATAATAACACTATGTCAGTTTATTTCGTTAGGTACAGAAGTGTGGATATTCTAGGATACAAAATAAAATGTAAAGGAAACTTCTTACCAGGAAATTGGGTGATCCGGTGAGCTGTAGGATGTAGGTACTCGTTGGATTTGGTCCGGCGTCAGGTAACACGGGAATGTTTGGTGCCTGGGTAGGCAGGATAATGGCTTGGGTTCTTGATAGGATCGTTGTATGGCGATTATGCTATACAAATTTACCTATAGTCATTGTGTATTTACACATTTGGAAATTATAATTTATTCCTGTTATAATGACGTAATACAATAAGGTTTCTTGCACTAAGGATGCACTTTCGTACGAATGGGCAAAAAAATCCTAAGCTTACGAGTGCGATCGCTGGATATTATTTTTATTTATCTCGCAAATCTGCCCAGGTGTAGATTTTTGTAAACGGATATTAATTTGTGATAATCCACTTTTAAAAATATATATAAAAAAAAATCATTTTCAAAACCCGGGCCGAATGTTAATGGTTGGGTATATCAGGTAGGTACAGAAGACGATTGCTTCTTTTAAATATAATAATTAAGCAATAATAATGAATTATTGCAAGAGACATAATTAAAACATGTAGTTTAGGTTAAGACCTTGTCCTCCAAAAAACGGTAATTAATTATCTGTTCATTGTAGTTACCTATTTGACGCAGAGAAACGCATGCAGTATGCGCAATCAAATCGTACGAAACTACATTCAAAGTGAAAGGATTCGAAAATATTAAAAATCCAAAAATTCTCGAACAAATAATTATCATAAGAATTATAATAAAACCTGCGAGATTGCAATTATTATTTTATTTCATAATGTACTTTTAAAACAATACACTTTTACTTAACGATTCTAGCGAGTAATATAACCCTGAAATTATAAGAAAAATGCCTATTACTTAAAATTAACATGATTTCTTTTATATTTTACAAATAAAAATGGAATTGGCAGCCACACATTTTTTCCCCCAATGGGACTACAAGTTAGAAACACTCGAATTGGACCTCGGTTTAAATTCGCACTAATTTATAAAACGTGTACATTTACGGGTAAACAGATTATTACTTATTGAGAGTACACCAAAAATTAATCAGATCAGCAAATCCATTAGACATTGTTTCTACAATAATAATGCTGTTTACCCGTCACTTATCATTATGCAAATACAAAATACATATATGAAACTACATCTAATTACGAAAAATCTAAGTGAAGAATATACAATATAGTAATGATCAAATGAATTGCGATAAAATAAAAAAAAGCATCAGTGATCTAAAATAATTAATTAGAAAATTCAATCATAGCATTACTGTTATATTTTTAAAAATTTCAAAGCCAAAAAACAAATATGTATGTATAAAAAAATCAGATCGTAGATGAAAATGTTATGCGCGATTTTATTTTGGTCTATTGTAGCTTTTAAAAAGGACCAAAAAATATTTTAGAATATTATTTAGGTACCATGAACAATACAAAACATGATATGTAATCATGCATGCTTCAAACATTTCCATAGCTGGTTGTAGTAATCAAATTAACAAACCTGTAAATTATTAAACGAATTTAAGAAAAAATACATTTTGGTTGAATTTAATAAAGACAAGGATAAAAATAAAATTTGTTAGTTTGTACAATCACAAATCGAATAAGTTTGAATATTATTTAAAACTGTTATCGAATTTTATAAAATCCGAGACTACATCTTATCACTATTTTTGTTAAACTTTTTCCTAGCGAGAAGGTTTAATACATAAGTTTGCTATGTATTTACATTTCTGTGTCGGCGATTTTAGATATTGATGTTCTCTATAAAACTTTAGTACATTACTTTGCTCTATTGTCAATGACTTTCGCAGTGTACTCGACATAAGGTTATTTTTTGGCATTTTATCCACACGTTGGGTTACATTATCGATGTTTTCATACGGAACCCTAACTTTTTTGAAAATACTCTATAGCCTATGTTCATCACGGATGATGAAGGTTTTTTTAGAATTGTTTCAGTAGTTTCGTAGCCCATTCAAGACAAACAAACAAACAAACAAATCTTTCCTCTTTATAATATTAGTAGGTAAGTAGGTATAGATGCTAACATGTACCTCGTTTGAGCTAGGAATCCAGTTCTTATGTGCGCAAACAAGAAAAATTAAGTGTCGTTTCAGGTGAGAGTGAATAGTAATGCTGAGAACAGTGGTATGGGGGTCGAGCTCAGCAGAGCGTTCAAAACTTAAGCTCTTGGTGCAAAAAATGTCAAAGTTGACATTCGCTCCGTACACTTTATACCAAATTTCAGAACGTCAGGGTAAAAAGTCCCACTTAGAGTGTAGGTATTGAAAGAATTCAACAGAGGGTAGACTTATGTACCCTAAAATACTTCAGTTACTGCCCGTAAACAATGTTGAATATCGGATACACGTACAAAATAGAGTACATGGTAGCAATACCTTAATAACTACTCATAAACTTAATGTTTGTTATACTTTCGGGTATAACACTTCTTTAATAAAATACTCTTAAGGGCAACGAATTAGAAATGATATGGAAACATTACTCTCTTACAAAGACCGCTAAAACATGGTTCCAAATTCATACAGCTAAATTTCATTTACAGACGACATGCACACAGACATAACAAAATACTTTGACAAATCAAATATCTGCAAATAAATTCGGCTATCCATTCTTTGGGTAAGATAATGTTAAACGGAAATGCCAACTAATCTCATGATAGGCATGTTGATCGTAGTTTTTTCGCCCCGCTCACTTGATCGCAGTTTGTGTGGAACCATTTTTTAGCACAGTAAGTATTTCATATCATTTCTAATTCGTTGCTTAAGGGGTTATATATAACAATCGACCGCGTAATTTTTATTACGGTATTTGAAAATGGCCTGAAACGTAAAGCATTGAAACAAGTAATACCTATACTCCCGTAAAGAGTGCTTTATTAAACTTATAGATATAGATTTCCAATATAATGGATTCAATTATAAAACATTTTCCCTGAAAATTTATAACGTAACTCTTAATGGCTACTTTAAATATCTCGAGTTCTCTTAATTTTTAATTCAACGATAAGTACCTAACATACTATTGTAATATATACTTATACAGAGTAATTCATAGCCATCAAACAATACTTCAACAATATAGGTTAGCTATTCTATTACTGATATTAAAAGGTGGTATGCTTAACTATTTCCTAGTTTAAGTTACCCTAACTATTATAGTTAATTTAAGATAAGCTTTCCTACAAGTACCTACTGGTTTGAAGTATAGCTTGATGTTTTGCTAATCACCCTGTATTTCATTCAATCTTAAATAGATTTTACAATAAAATTATGTGCCGATTCCAACTTCCCACAAAATGTAAGATTGCAGTTTGAATATGATTATTGGATGTGACGGGTTTGGCAATTACGAACGAATTGATAGTAATATAACTTATGTAAAGTACATAGTTCTAGTTAATCTCAAAATGCAACGTTATTTGATGCGACATATTTTTTTTCCAGTCTACTATCTATGTTTAATCGGCACTTTCATTATCTTTCTGCCCATTTCAAACGCGAAGCATTCTGTATAATCTACAGCATATAAGCTTCTACGTATCTCCTACTATTGTCACGATCCCTAGTTATCATATTATCTTATATTTCTTTGTTATTCCACATTAGTTGATTTGATTTGTTTTCGTCAGTCGCTATTCATATGATTTGAAATTAGGAGTATAAAAATTGGTCGCGATAAACCTTAATATTTTTTTTTTTGTGTTAACAAAGAAAAATTGTACACAAGTTATTTTTAGTAAATCTCTGTTTTTTTTACAAGAACATTTAATATTGTCAATTATCGTAGTAATTTAGCAAATTATTTTAATTTGAAATTTCTCTCTAAGTTTAGAAGCATCAAGTTAAACAATTTTATTTTCTTAAATTCATGTAAGTCAGAGTGATAAGCAATTTGTATCGACAATTAACTATTAAATGCTTTTAGTTATGCCTAAAACTGACGATATTGCTCGCTTAGAAAAAATAAACGCTTAAATTACATGATTTTTAAAGTAAAAACTATCCTCGTGTTTTAAATGATTTTCCTTTTTAAGATAGTCACAAATAAATAGGTTTCTCTTATTCAATAAAATTAATAGCTATGTTTTGGATAGCTTAATAGAAATGGAAACGACGCGTAGTCCTACCCAGCGGAAGCGTCACGACACGACTATAGTTTAAAACTTTTTGGTTAAATCAGTCCGAGACATAGACGAACATAGGAAACCCCAATAAGTCCACTTTGAATTAGCTTGAGTAAAATGACAGCACATGTGCTGCCGCACAAAGGGGCCACGAATTCACTTGTTACGGTTAGAAAAAAATCATGAAGTAAGATATCACGTGTATTTATTGTTTCGTTGTACGTGCTCCTGACGTTTTTGGTGGGAGGGGAGGGAGGGAGGGGGGAAGACAATATCAATGAGACAACTTAAAACTGTTAGTGCGACCACGTCATCACCACAACCGTGAGCACGAAGTTAAAAAATTATCACTACTGTTCCGAATTGAGGCAGATACTATGTTAGTAAACATGAAAACTTCCGAGTACACGTATACTCTTTACAGGATTTGGTGGGCGTATCGTCATCCTGGCGGCGACTGTATGATTTGTGGCTGCGATGTACGCCAGTAGCTCGCACGGGCGGCTTTGGGTTCCCGTTGAACAAGTCGGTGAGGCCACCCAGCGCGGTGAGGGAGATCACTATGCCCTTATTTGTTTAGGGAGCTTTTGGGTACTATGTTCGTCTAAGTGAAAGCCACCGAGTACGCCTACCGAAACGAAACCTAATAGGGATTATATTTGCTCCTCTCTTTTGAGGATTTGGTGGGCGTGTCGTCATCCTGGCGGCGATTGTATGATTTGTGGCTGCGATGTACTCCTGTGGTTTGCACGGGCGGCGTTGGGTTCCCGCTGAGGAGGTCGGTGAGCCCGCCCAGCGCGGAGAGGGAGCTGAGCGCGCCCAGCGCCCCAGACTTGCTGAGGAGCTGCGCGAGGGGGATGGCAGACGCGAGCGGACTGGCGCCGGACGAGCCCGCACCTCCTGAAGTGCTACCCTCCAGGTTCGCCTTCTGTAGCTCCACACTGCCGGTGCGGGACAGGAATCTTGTGAGGTTGGCGTACACTCGGCCCGCTTCGAAGCGACTGTTCGTGCTACTAGACGCGCTGATCTAAAACGCTTGCCGGTATGTATAGGTGGCGGCAAAGTTCTTGAGTAAATAAAACAGTTTTTACGGGTTATATGCACTGAATTTATTATTTATTGAGCGGATATTTCATTGGAAGATTTTTAAAACTTTATTGTCTATGCTTGAATTTATTAGCTAATTTAATTAATAAAGTAATTTATTCAATTCTTTTGTATAATTTTGAGTTTATTTATTTGAACCTAAATGCCGAAACTACCACCGGTTTCAAAATTATCTTGAGTAAAACCTAAGACAAATAAACTTGCGCAGTAAACGTTTTTGTATGTAAATTTGCTACTGCGCAGACTTCCTTGTCTGTGATTGTTGCTCAAAAATTTTGCTGGGTTGTAAATACCCATGATTGTTCGGTGTACTATCGCGAGTTTGTCGTAATTAACTTAGGTATATAGATATTTGATACTGAGTAGTAGATTATAAAAGTTAGCAGCCAATGTTATTTTGGATATAAATTTAAATATACTTTTTTTTTATTTTTAGTACTAGTTCTTGTAGCTAGTCAATTATTTTAATTTGCTTAGTAATAAAGTAGTAGTCGCTCTGTCTAAAATAATTAGTATTTATGTGAGCTAACACAGTTTAAGGTTTTCTTGAAACAATACAGTCTGAATGTAATGATTGTTTCTTCAAGTTCTTTTCATATAATGTTACGACCAAACACCTGTTATTATAGATCGAATACGCAAACATTAAAATTGATTTACTATCTCTGTTACACTTGTATTTATTTTGAGTTGGGAGTTATATATTTTAATTGCTAAGTACACGTGGTGTCCGCTATGAGATATTCGCTTGTTGACCGGGTTCGTCAGTTTTTATTTATAGACCGAGGCGTTTCATCTTGGACTTCAACATCAAAGTGACAAGAAGGGCGCGCGAAGATGCTAATTAATAGTTTTAGCGCGTCTGATATTCTTATGCACGACAAGTTTAAAGGATTGGAGCATTAATATGTTAGGAATGTTTACGTCGAAACGGTTTACTACAAAATTGATTAGTTTCTAGATTAGCAATAAATTATTATTATTTTTAATCATCAATTCTTATGTTTTCAGTGAAAATTGGGAGCATGTTACCAAGCGTCTTAGATCAGAATAATACGAAAAAATCTCACAACACAACTTCGAAACAGACCAGAGAGGTGAAGACAAATCATAGGATAGTTCACGGGATATAAAAATAATCAGTTACTGAGGTGAAGGCATGATATAAAATGGACGAGATCGGGCAAAATAATTCTCAGTCGGACTATAGGAAGTCGGGATGAGAGCTGCGGTATTATGTTGGAGTAGTCATAGTTTTTATATTATTATTAGTAGGTGTATCTTACCTCATGTTGATGAGATACTGCGCGAGTGCAACGGAATCCGGGTTGCCCGATATAGTGATGGTGCGATCCGTGCTGCCGCCCTCGCGTTCCTCGCAGTTCGATATCCGGATCATCGCGCCGGAGATTTGGCGGATTTCAGCGATCTTAGTACCTCCCTGGGTTGAAATCAATAATTATAGAGAATAGTGTTCTGTTTAAGTATAATCTGACTGTTGCTTTGAATTTTGCTCATATATTTTACGTATATGAAAGACCATAATATCTAATAAATACATATTATAGTCTGATCAATCTACAAAAAAATACTTCAATCACCAAAAAATATCGAACATTGTATTATCACAAATGTATGTATGTATTAGTTTCAGTGTAGTCAATAGTGCTGAATTAGTATGAAATGAATCTTAAACAGAATCTGATCTTTAACAAATCAGATGAATTTTTAGGTGGGTATTGTTCTGATATCGTTACAGATATCAAAATAAGTATTAATCTAATACTAATTTTGATACCTGTTATGATATTGACAATTTAAGTATAAAAGTTTAGACCCGTATTATTAGATCGCTCGCAGCTCTGAGACTACAATCTTGAGATACTGTTTTCATACAAAATAGCACTCCAGATCGCTATCAGAGTCGAAAGCGATCTTTAATACAGGCCATAATCTTCAAGTGCGTGATACCGACCTTGCCGATGATGCAACCGATGAGCTCGTTGGGCACTGTCATTTCATGCGACTGCTGGTTGGAAGCGGGTTGGTTGCGCGACTGGTTCGAGGTGCGCAGCTGTGACCCCGCGAGGGCTGCTAGCGCTGCTTAAAGAGTATCGTCATACAAGTCAGAATCAAATGCACTACAATAGAGGATTGAAATGACATATAAAATAAATAAATAAAATTTAAGAAATATACCCAACACTCACACCAATTTATTAGGCTAGCCCCAAAGTAAGCAATGAAAGGGTTGTGTTATGGGATACTGGGGTAACGGATAGAATAATAAATTTTATGTAAAAATACATATTAAAATCCATTAATTTGGTACAAATGCTAGTATTCATCATACTAACATCTGCCCGCCGAGATTCAAACCCGTGAGTAGGCGATACCTTGAAACCCAGCGTACATACCACTCGGCGACGGAGGTCGTCAAACTTATGATAGGCTTATTGTTAATTGCTGTTGACTTTTCACTTTCTACGGTTTTAATTCATGCGCATTGGAAATTATAGGGTAACACAGTAAAACAGAATATTATATCACCAAGATCAGTGCTTTCTTTTATTTTATTTAAATTTAACAATTTTCTATAATTATTTATTTACCTGCAGGGTTAAGTCCGCCTGTGTTAGCTGGTCCCAAACTGCCAAGCCCTAAAGCTGCCAAACCGGCTAACGGAGACTTAGCTAAACCTCCCATCTAAAATAAGAACAAGGCGATGTCAAGTTTAAGCAGATAAATAATCCTTTAAGTGATCTAGAACTTTTTATAAAAATGGAAACCAATGCAGTTATAAAATTAAACTGATATAAAGCTCCAGCTGCTTGTTTTCATCTTCCTGGCATGGCTGGGATGGGATCGCTGGATAGGGTAACCTGGGTGGAAAGAATAATTAATTTCAAACCTAAGAATTTCGCAAGAGCTCTACTGGCAAGAACTTAACAGCGGATATAGTTTCTAGAAGACGATACGAGTAAAGCTATGCGAATATCCTTAGACATTTTAACCACTCTGAGTTCTTGAATGGTGCTGCCCGAACACAATATACGCACCTTTTACATTTATTTAGACTGTTTCTATTACTCGAACTAACAGATCGTTATAAATTAACTTTAAGCCATGCTTCCATGGTTAATTTCAATATTAATCGTGATACACAAAAAAAAAATCGTCGGAAGAGGCAAGGCATAGGCAAAAATAAGGAGAGGTGCAAAGTACAGGATTTATATCATTGACTTTGTGTGTGCGTGAACATTTCGCAAAGTACGTGTAAATGAAGAAAAGGCTCGTTGTCAGCAATGCCAGAAAACAAACAGATAAAGCTTTGTATGTGTTCTTCTACACATATTCCCGTCTACGATACATAACATTTTAACATATCAATAAAACTGAGATACTATCACTATGGTGCAAACATTTACATTATATTAAAAGGGTCCATATAATAAAACTACCATAAAGGGTAGGGTTTACGTGCAAACAAGAAAGAGTATAAATGAGTTTCAAGCGAAGGAGAATAAAAAAGAGAGCAAATAAATGTAATCCATTCCTACACTCCACAGCACCGGGAACTAAAACAGGGTATTTTTTTACAGTACAATGTTATTAAATTCATAGCCGCTACAGAAAGGGAATCGACACCACACAACCAAACCAAGTTGAGGGGATTTCGGGGCAGCACCAATCACATAATATAACCACACAACCTCATAGAGAATATCTATTCCTCACAATGATTTCAAGACGGATACCAAATATATTCGCAGTGAAAATACTTAGGGCCGTATTGTAGTAAGAGAAGAGGAAAAATATCATAATTAACATTCCTTATATAAAACAACTACGGGGATCACTTACACTGCGAAATAGTTGATGCATTGGATAGTGTGGGCATAAAAAAATCTACATTAAGAAGAGACCACAGTACAGCACTGGTACAAAGGATATAATTTATGCCATTTGAGTACATATATTTTTTCTGAATTCAGGATCTCAGAGCAAAGACACCGTCCACAGATAAGAGTGAGTAACATTACAAAGCGGAGTACCTACCTAAAGTTAAAAGTTATTAAAAGTTCGAATATGGCAAAATAAAAATGCTGTTTTTTTATATATAACCCAAAATGTACATTTCAGTTGAGTGTTTGTTTGCATGTGTATTATTTTTCTATAAAAGCATTTTTTCAGGTTATAGATGTTGAGGTTTAAAGTAACTAAAAAAAATCTGGTACTTTTTCAAAGTTCATAATAAATAGCTGCTTATTTAATAATGTGCAAGGAAAACGCGAAGATTTAATACTTATTAGCTATTATATGTAACCAAGGAACAAGCTGGTAAAGTGCGATTCAAACTTTATGGCGGTTGAAAAGTTAGCATCATTCAGTGATACCCCCCGCGCGCTTTTCAATTTCGTTTTCTGCCATTAGGTTTGAATCGCACTATAGTCTGTAATAGACTATAATTATTTCAAATCTCCCAAAATGTTTTCATCCATCGGCATCTCATTCGAGCAACTATCGGCTAAGTAACGGACCCATTAAGTTCAGTGTGTATATGACAGGTAAAATTTAGCTTTGTGTCCTTACGCCTGGGCGCCTTCAAACTAACTTATATTTTTAAATGTTTTGGATTGTATTTTAAATGTACTTTACTGTATGACTGAAAAATTGAACGCCAACTTTGTGGCGATTTACGGTCAATTCGTATTAGCGAGTCGAAGCGTGTCGAGTTGAAGCGCATCAAAGCGTTATTCAGAAACAGTAACAAAGCAAATTCACCCTTATCTTCGCAATGTAATGCACATATTCCTTCTGTGCTATAGTCAGTCAGCCGTCTATATAGAATTCTGTCAATTTCGAATTCCCGAGTCTTCTTTTTTATCTCAGAAGGAATATGTGCGTTACTTTGCGGAGATAAGGCCGAATTTGCTTTGTTACGTTTCTGATTAGTGCTTCGACTCTGCGCTTGTATGAATAGGCTAGTTGACCCTTTTTGGAAAAAGGTTTTAAATGGTTAATAAATGTTCTATTAGACCGAAAAAAAATGTATTGTATTTTTTTTAAACCTAGAAAGCTACAGATCTTTAATTTTAAAATAGACTTTTCATGGACATACAAAAACGCTGTCGGCCATTTCAGTCTATAGATTATCTATGCTATGACGTGAACTGTGGTAAACAAAAACTCGTAAACACGTAGAAAATTACTTTTAACTGAGTTTATGATAAAAAAAACATGATTTCTAATAAATACCACGAAAAATAAAGTAATTATCATTACTGTATTGTACGAGAATATAAAAACACATCCTTGAAGACTCCAGGAAAGTTGTGGATTAAAGTGCCGGTAGAAATTAACCTACGCAACTTTATAACACGTATTCATATGTTGTATCTGTTTTATATTTATTACTACATTGTAATACTAAATGCACTGTACTTACATAGATGCCTTGACGTTTCTCTGCTCCGCAGAGCAGAAATCGGGGTTTAGTGCAACAAATTCACCAACCATCAATGCGTCAATTCTTGGCAGATTTGTGCTTTCTGCTTACACAAAGCCAGCATCCATAATTAGTATTGTCAAAAAAAACTAAGTTTACTGATTTTTTCTTTCCTAAAGTTAAAAGTGTTTTAAGATAAATTTAGTCAGACGAAAGAATCCACCTACAGTAACACGCGAGTGACATTATTAGTTGTTTACCACAAGAGACGTCAAAATCATGGCGGATGTGGCGAACAGCGTTTTTAGTGTTTAAAAAATATAGACTAAAAATTATTTTTTAAAATTAAATTTCTACAGCAATCTTCTGCTTTTATGAAGTGAAATCGATATATTCAGGAGGTATATTACCCTAGCGTAACAATTTCATAAGTCCATATCCTAAGGTATATAGTATTTTGTTGCTAATTTGTTGCTATTTTGTGCCGCAAGAATTGATTTTGTTGCTCCATGATTTCTCGGAAAAACGCCAGTTACGCTAGCGTATTATTACGCTAGCGAAACCACAGCGATAACTCGGAGGCAAAAGCAGTTAGAGAGATCAGATGAACGGCATATTTTGTTGCTATTTTGTTGCTGTAAGATAAGCTGGTTAGATATGGAAAAATTCCTCCCCTTCATGGGGGGCTAACTACCCTTATTCTTAGATATTTCAGATTTTTCGTATCTTGTGAACTAAAGCAGCTAGCGGCACGAGACAAACGCCGTATTTTGTTGCTATAAGGTAGGCATGCTGCGTACATCATAATCACAACCCTTATCGGGGTATGACCAACCCCCGACCCCGAAGACACCAGATATTTGGTATCTCGTGAGCTAAAGCAACTAGCGACCTGAAACCAACGGCGTATTTTGTTGCTATAAGATAGGCATGCTGCGTACATCACAATCACAACCCTTATCGGGGTATGACCAACCCCCGACCTCAAGACACCAGATAATTCGTATCTCGTGAGCTAAAGCAGCTAGCGACCCGAACCCAACGGCATATTTTGTTGCTATTAGACAGGCATGCTGCGTACATCATAATCACAACCCTTATCGGGGTATGATCAACCCCCGACCCCGAAGACACCAGATATTTGGTATCTCGTAAACTAAAGCAGCTAGCGGCACGAGACAAACGGCGTATTTTGTTGCTATTTTGTAGCTATAAGATAGGCATGCTGCGTACATCATAATCACAACCCTTATCGGGGTATGACCAACCCCCGACCCCGAAGACACCAGATATTTGGTATCTCGTGAGCTAAAGCAACTAGCGACCTGAAACCAACGGCGTATTTTGTTGCTATAAGATAGGCATGCTGCGTACATCATAATCACAACCCTTATCGGGGTATGACCAACCCCCGACCCCGAAGACACCAGATATTTCGTATCTCGTGAGCTAAAGCAGCTAGCGACCCGAGACCAACGGCGTATTTTGTTGCTATAAGATAGGCATGCTGCGTACATCATAATCACAACCCTTATTGGGCTATGACCTACCCCCGACCCTGAAGACACCAGATATTTCGTATCTCGTGAACTAAAGCAGCTAGCGGCACGAGACAAACGGCGTATTTTGTTGCTGTAAGATAAGCTGGTTAGATATGAAAAAATATCATCCCTTCATGAGAGGCTAACTACCCTTATTCTGAAAAATCACAGATATTTCATATCTCGTGAGCTAAAGCAGCTAGCAACCCGAGACCAACGGCGTATTTTGTTGCTATTTTGTAGCTATAAGATAGGCATGCTGCGTACATCATAATCACAACTCTTATCGGGGTATGACCAACCCCCGACCCCAAGACAACAGATATTTCGTATCTCTTGAGCTAAAGCAGCTAGCGACCCGAGACCAACGGCGTATTTTGTTGCTATTTTGTAGCTATAAGATAGGCATGCTACGTACATCATAATCACAACCCTTATCGGGGTATGACCAACCCCCGACCCCGAAGACACCAGATATTTCGTATATCGTCAGGTAAAGCAGCTAGCGACCCGAGACCAACGGCGTATTTTGTTGCTTTAAGATAGGCATGCTGCGTACATCTAATCACAACCCTTATCGGGGTATGACCAACCCCCGACCCCAAGACACCAGATGATACGCAGCATGCCTATCTTATAGCAACAAAATACGCCGTTGGTCTCGGGTCGCTTGCTGCTTTAGCTCAAGAGATACGAAATATCTGGTGTCTTGGAGTCGGGGGTTGTTCATAACCCGATAAGGGTTGTGATTTTGATGTACGCAGCATGCCTATCTTATAGCTACAAAATAGCAACAAAATACGCCGTTGGTCTCGGGTCGCTAGCTGCTTTAGCTCAAGAGATACGAAATATCTGGTGTCTTGGAGTCGGGGGTTGGTCATACCCCGATAAGGGTTGTGATTATGATGTACGCAGCATGCCTATCTTAAAGCAACAAAATACGCCATTGGTCTCGGGTCGCTAGCTGCTTTAGCTCAAGAGATACGAAATATCTGGTGTCTTGGAGTCGGGGGTTGGTCATACCCCGATAAGGGTTGTGATTATGATGTACGCAGCATGCCTATCTTAAAGCAACAAAATACGCCATTGGTCTCGGGTCGCTAGCTGCTTTAGCTCACGAGATACGAAATATCTGGTGTCTTGGGGTCGGGGGTTGGTCATACCCCGATAAGGGTTGTGATTATGATGTACGCAGCATGCCTATCTTAAAGCAACAAAATACGCCGTTGGTCTCGGGTCGCTAGCTGCTTTACCTGACCAGATACGAAATATCTGGTGTCTTCGGGGTCGGAGGTTGGTCATACCCCGATAAGGGTTGTGATTATGATGTATGCAGCATGCCTATTTTATAGCTACAAAATAGCAACAAAATACGCCGTTGGTCTCGGGTCGCTAGCTGCTTTAGCTCAAGAGATACGAAATATCTGGTGTCTTGGAGTCGGGGGTTGGTCATACCCCGATAAGGGTTGTGATTATGATGTACGCAGCATGCCTATCTTAAAGCAACAAAATACGCCATTGGTCTCGGGTCGCTAGCTGCTTTAGCTCACGAGATACGAAATATCTGGTGTCTTGGGGTCGGGGGTTGGTCATACCCCGATAAGGGTTGTGATTATGATGTACGCAGCATGCCTATCTTAAAGCAACAAAATACGCCATTGGTCTCGGGTCGCTAGCTGCTTTAGCTCACGAGATACGAAATATCTGGTGTCTTGGGGTCGGGGGTTGGTCATACCCCGATAAGGGTTGTGATTATGATGTACGCAGCATGCCTACCTTAAAGCAACAAAATACGCCGTTTGTCTCGTGCCGCTAGCTGCTTTAGTTCACGAGATACGAAAAATCTGAAATATCTATGAATTAGGGTAGTTAGCCCCCCATGAAGGGGGGGGGGGATTTTTTTCATATCTAACCAGCTTATCTTACAGCAACAAAATAGCAACAAAATATGCCGTTCATCTGATCTCTCTAACTGCTTTTGCCTCCGAGTTATCGCTGTGGTTTCGCTAGCGTAATATTACGCTAGCGTAACTGGCGTTTTTCCGAGAAATCATGGAGCAACAAAATCAATTCTTGCGGCACAAAATAGCAACAAATTAGCAACAAAATACTATATACCTTAGGATATGGACTTATGAAATTGTTACGCTAGGGTAATATACCTATATTCAGGTTCCTTAGACTAAATACTTTAAGAAATAAACATTTATTTAATACAATTAGACATGAGTAAACTAGCCTATTGATCATTAGATTTCAAACAAAAATTGTGGGATCGCTTATCATGTGTTTCTCTATCTAGCAGGGCCACTCTAGCTAGACTTATAAAAGTAGTGGTAATGCTTGACTTGTTCAATGTACTCCGAGCGTAATACAGCTGAGGGCCCTGCTGGATGGATATATCATAATTTCTATCAAAACGGTCAAGGCACATTGAACCTTGTTAATAAATTCATGAGGTACATTGACCAAGTCACCAATTACTACTACATACTTTTGTGAGTCTAGCAAGAGCGGCGTCGCTAGATAGAAACATATGCGCTTATCTTATATACAAGGAAAAGTCTGTACTTTCCATGAACGGAGTATTCGCGCGTCACTCTTATCGGGAGGTGTTTTATGAGAGTGCACCGAGATCTGATCAGGGAGGTTGTCTGTATAAATAGGGGTGGTTGTAAGGACTCTATGAGGTCGCATGTGTGTCACTCACGAGGTGGTGTTCGTGGAGCGGCGGCGGCAGTAGGTGGTGCGGGGGCAGCGCGCCCACGAGGGGCGGCTTCACCTCCAGCAGGGGGAACACGGGCGCGCACACCGCCTGCCGCACACGCTACTATGCACCAGGTACGTGGACACGTCCACTCTCGTGCGAGCACCGAGCGCGACTGAACGCGTGTCCGACACGACTCAACTAACGCGAGTGGGCCGTTCGTCCGCGAGACAACTCGTTCGCGATCAGTACCCCTAGCACGAACCAATATCGAATTCGTATCGTTTGCGAGTCCGAAATGTCATTGTCAAATGTGTACTGATTTTTAGTTCCCGTTACGTACTTTGTGGCGCTGCTGTTCAAGTTTCCATACAAAATATGACATTGTCATTTCGGACTCGCAAACTATTCGAATTCGATAATGGTTCGTGCTAGGGGTACAGTACTCTTAGCATGAGCCAATATCGAATTTTGTTGTGGCTAAAGCACCAGCCATGCAAGCCAAAAAACGAATTGTTTACGTTTGCTAGTGCGAAATGACATTTTTAAATTTCGTATGGAAACTTGAACAGCAGCGCCACAATGGACGTAACGAGAACTAAAAATCTGTACACGTTTGACGTACCTATTTAAATATCGAACTATTCAAGTTCGATAATGGTTCGTGCTAAGGCTATAGTCCCCGTAACATGACCACCATTGTATATCACGTTTTCTATCGCGATTAAGAGGGAGGCGGGCAATGTTTTTTCCATACAAACATTCTCGACTGATTCCTCCTTGATTTTTATAACTAAAGAGTTGATTTTCATACATAAAATATTACTCATTCTATGCTCCTAGGAAGACAGCACTTCCTTTTTTCGATAAATTGTGTTTCCAAGAAAGTACAAGCCCTAAAAATGACAAAAAAACAAATTTTTATAACTACTAAAGACGTCTAGTGTGAAGATTTAATAAGCATTTCCAAACATAGAGGCATAGTATAACTACTTATTATTCTATGAGTAAAATTTCTCGTACATATATGTAATTTTCGAGGAGGAAATAGTCGGGAGTTAAAACCTCGAATTTTGCAATTTTTATACACAATTTTTAGCGTTAAATAACTTTGTCCTTATCGCACGGTATTTACCAATGCGTGACAGCAATAGTTTTTTCAAATACCTATTTCTCAAAAGTCTCTCGGCTCGTGTCCGCTCTTAACTGTCAAAATTCATAGTAATTTGACAATTGAGCGTGATAAAACGAGCTATATTTTACAGCGCGGTGGTCATGCTAGGGGGGAAGGGCAGAGTATGATATATAGCGCGGTTCAAAGTTAATGGCAACTTTACATAATTTTTAATGCCATAGAGTAGGATACAACGCAAGTTCTGATAGTTCAATTATCAATAATAAGAGAACTGCCCCAGCATTCGCGCAGTAAATAGACGATTGCAACTGTATAAGTTGTCGCGTTAGTATAATTATATCTGGACACGCATTCTCATATGCTCTACTTTCACGAGAGTAACACGTGCCTAAACGTCACCTCCATATGCGAATTAATCGTGACGGATTCTAAGGCCAATATTTAATAGATCACTCTTAACTCTGATATTACGATTTTCAGATACTATTTTCATACAAAACTCAGAGTTGAGAGGGATCTATTAATCCGGGCCTAAGCCGAGAACACTAATTGGTGCTATAACTACTTAATGCCTTAATGGTGTTGAAAATATACTGTCGTGATTTCATTGCTTATAGAGGTGACGTGAAGAAACCAAAATTTTAATGCTATACGATTGCCAAGTTCTCTCTAATGCCTTAGGAGTTTTAAAATAATCCGTTTGCGGTACCTACATTCTATATCAATATAATGTTTATGTCAATGTTATTTCCAACATTGTTTCGATTATTTGATAAACTACTGCGTCATTACTAAAATTATTTTCTAACAGTGGCGCTTCGTGTGCTTCTTGAGACAAAATATATACTTAATCAATGTCACAGCAAACAATGAGTATATATTTGAATTACAATACGAAAAAAAAATACAAATCACGTCTGAGATCCTATGGTAAACCTTTTTAATACAGTAAAAGGCCGATTATTAATTACAACTTTATTGTGTTGCTAAGCAAATGAAATAATAACTAACGCCAGATGTCTTCCGCTTCATTAGCAGGAAGCCCCATGTGCATTGGACTTGCACACATGTTTAAGTTTTATTGCATTACAAAAGGACCTTATATGAAATAGAATGTCTCTTATCGAATAATGCGTTATGATTTGTGAACTTAAAGTTATTTTGTTATTTAAAGCATTAAGGCCTACATGCAGCAATTTTGCTTAATCGCAGTTTAACTAAAATTTGTTCTTCTTATTTCTTTCTTAAAGGCTCAGCAGTGCAAATTCTGGCAATTTCATGTGGTAATTAAATTGTATAAGATTGTGGTAATAAGATTTAGCCAGTAAAATTGACATTGGCGTTTTGATATTTATCTATGGGTTTAGTTTAAATTAAATCGAGATTTAGCAAATTTACTGCAAGTGGGCCTAAACTGCTAGATTTATAAACCTGATGATTTTTTTTTACTGGAAACCAGTCAGACTAGGTTCGATTACTGTCTGAAATCTGGATTGAATGGAATATTATGATTTTTTTTGTGGAATATAAAACTATTTCTACGGAAATATAGCGTAAATTATGTTGTTACTTACGTCTTGCGCTGGCACAGCGTAGTTCCCTTGGATGGTGTAAGCTTGACCACCGGCTAGAATTACTGGGCCTGCGACGTTGGGTTTTGGTCTGTATGGAATCGTCGCACCTTTTGGCGGGCTCTGTAAACAAAACAATATTTTAGAAGAAATAATATTAAATATTTTTAACACAACAATTATTTTATTTTTAACGTTTTTTGACTCCACTTTTGGTGATCACTAGTAATTGGATAATCAGATGCATATTTACCTAAAATTGAGATTTTGGCTATTATTTAAAACACTAAACTAACGATATCGTAAGGTGAGGTCCTAATTAAAACGCATACGTCAAACATTTCGAAATTATTTATTTGACTCTACGCGCAATTCTGAATGCGCTGTTATCAATATATCAGGTACGTACCGCGAAGAAAAGAGACGGTGATATTACCGACCATCCATTTGAATATCACAAATATTTTCTATGAAATCAGTTTTTAATAAGTACCTATCGGAACAATTTCTTCAAATGCATTGAATTAACAAACATTAATTAGATACGAAAGAACGAAACTATACATATTATAACTATTTTTTTCACGGAGCTCTGCGGCAACTTTACTTTTCAACGGTCCGTGCATGATTGTGAACCAAGAAGTGCTTGAGTCGTGTTCGCAAGCACTTCTTGATTGGGACAAATTTTGGGCGGACGTGTTTTATCTAAGGTATTTAATATCGTTGATTATTGGAGTAGTGGCATCTTTCATTCTAGGCAGTCTGCTTTCAGTCAAAATGACGTGTCAGGCATTATTGCATTTTGCATTTCAGATTTAAAGGCACTGTGCTCTTAACCATAGCAATGTAGGTGACACCATTGTGTCACCTATATTTCGTGTCGCTACCGACCACTCGTTGTCGCGTACTAGTGCGGCCTCGGCCTAAGGTAGAAACCTTTAGGAACTGTTAAAAGGAAATAACCGGTCTTCAATCAATAAGCGATGTCCCTATTGTTCAGCTCTTAACTTTCGGCATCACTAGCTGTCAAAATGAACTGAAAGATGTGAAGGATTCCCTGCGTATGCGCGATTCGTTCAGGGGATTGTAAACTTGGGCCTACTTAATAAATTCAATTTCTAAAGTCAAACTATCTATCAATTCGTTCTAAAGGACCCTGGCTGTAAGGGAGAGAAATTGCGGACATAAAATAAACCCCCAAATTTCTTTGCGATTAGTAATGCCGTCTTCGAGTGCAATCTTTGAATATATAAATAAATAATGTATTTACCTCTAACATGACGCAGCAGATGTGGTAAATGCACTGTGTGATGGCGTCGCACGTGCCGCTGATCGTCACCGCCCTCTCGGTGGAGTTTGGCAACATTTCACTGGCCACCTGTAAACAAAAACGTTTGTTATATACTAACATAATTAATTTTTAAACTTCCAGTTTGAAAATGGACATCAACAGACAATGGATGCACGGGTTCAGTCCCCATTGCTTCTCCAGTTTTATAAAACTGGACAAATTAAAATTATACAAAAAAAAAAGTATTCTTTTAACAAGTTGTCAGATTAGCTCAACTATACAGCAGTGTTTTATAATAAAGTATAGCACTTAGTTTATTTCTAATTAATTGAGCTTGAAGATTTTGTAACAGAAAACCTTCTAAATATAGTTTCAAGACTTAGTAGCTATCTCGAGCTACTCCGTGCTCTGGATGATAAATTCAGCCGTCAATCTCGGCTGCATATGCAGTCGTTAGTGCCTACCAATCCGGACGGGAGTAATTTCATCCATAGGGCAGGCCTGCGCTATATCAGTTGGGACAATCATAGGCTGATGATGATGGTATTGTCGATGGCAAACTTCTTGAGCAAAATCACAGATAAATAAACTAGCGCAGTAGCCATTTTTTATGTAAAATTGCTAGTGCGCAGGCTTCTTTGTCTATGTCCTGTATGATAGCGCCGGTGACGTCACAGATCCCCTTGATTTTGGAGCTTTCCTTGCCGATGAGCGAGCCGCACTGCGACGCGGGCACGATGAGCCGCAGGTGATGATCGTTGAGCTGACGGGCCGACGATGGTACCTGTATGTTGGCGCCGGTGTCGTCACGGATTTCCTTGATCTTGGAGCCACCCTTGCCGATGAGCGAGCCGCACTCCGACCCGGGCACGATGAGCTGCAGGTGATGATCGTTGAGCTGACGGGCCGACGATGATACCTGTATGTTGGCGCCGGTGTCGTCACGGATTTCCTTGATCTTGGAGCCACCCTTGCCGATGAGCGAGCCGTACTGCGACGCGGGAACGATGAGCTGCAGGTGATGATCGTTGAGCTGACGGGCCGACGATGATACCTGTATGTTGGCGCCGGTGACGTGACGGATCTCCTTGATCTTGGGGCCTCTCTTGCCGATGAGCGAGCCGCACTGCGACGCGGGCACGATGAGCTGTAGGTGATGATCGTTGAGCTGACGGGCCGACGATGGTACCTGTATGTTGGTGCCGGTGATGTAACGGATTTCCTTGATCTTGGAGCCTCTCTTGCCGATGAGCGAGTCGCACTGCGACGCGGGCACGATGAGCCGCAGGAGATGATCGTTGAGCTGACGGGCCGACGATGGTACCTGTATGTTGGCGCCGGTATCGTCACGAATTTCCTTGATCTTGGAGCCACCCTTGCCGATGAGCGAGCCGCACTGCGACGCGGGCACGATGAGCTGCAGGTCATGATCGTTGAGCTGACGGGCCGACGATGATACCTGTATGTTGGCGCCGGTGACGTGACGGATCTCCTTGATCTTGGGGCCTCTCTTGCCGATGAGCGAGCCGCACTGCGACGCGGGCACGATGAGCTGTAGGTGATGATCGTTGAGCTGACGGGCCGACGATGGTACCTGTATGTTGGTGCCGGTGATGTAACGGATCTCCTTGATCTTGGAGCCTCTCTTGCCGATGAGCGAGCCGCACTGCGACGCGGGCACGATGAGCCGCAGGTGATGATCGTTGAGCTGACGGGCCGACGATGGTACCTGTATGTTGGCGCCGGTATCGTCACGAATTTCCTTGATCTTGGAGCCACCCTTGCCGATGAGCGAGCCGCACTGCGACGCGGGCACGATGAGCTGCAGGTCATGATCGTTGAGCTGACGGGCCGACGATGGTACCTGTATGTTGGCGCCGGTGACGTGACGGATCTCCTTGATCTTGGAGCCTCTCTTGCCGATGAGCGAGCCGCACTGCGACGCGGGCACGATGAGCCGCAGGTGATGATCGTTGAGCTGACGGGCCGACGATGGTACCTGTATGTTGGCGCCGGTGACGTCACGGATCTCCTTGATCTTGGAGCCTCCCTTGCCGATGAGCGAGCCGCACTGCGACGCGGGCACGATGAGCCACAGGTGATGATCGATGAGCTGACGGGCCGACGGTGTTAACTGTATGTTGGCACCAGTGACGTCACGGATCTCCTTGATCTTGTAGCCTCCCTTGCCGATGAGCGAGCCGCACTGCGACGCGGGCACGATGAGCCGCAGGTGATGATCGTTGAGCTGACGGGCCGACGATGTTACCTGTATGTTGGCACCAGTGACGTCACGGATCTCCTTGATCTTGGAGCCTCCCTTGCCGATGAGTGAGCCGCACTGCGACGCGGGCACGATGAGCCACAGGTGATGATCGATGAGCTGACGGGCCGACGATGTTAACTGTATGTTGGCGCCAGTGACGTCACGGATCCCCTTGATCTTGGAGCCTCCCTTGCCGATGAGCGAGCCGCACTGCGACTCGGGCACGATGAGCCGCAGGTGATGATCGTTGAGCTGACGGGCCGACGATGTTACCTGTATGTTGGCACCAGTGACGTCACGGATCTCCTTGATCTTTGAGCCTCCCTTACTGATGAGCGAGCCGCACTGCGACGCGGGCACGATGAGCCGCAGGTGATGATCGTTGAGCTGACGGGCCGACGATGTTACCTGTATGTTGGCGCCAGTGACGTCACGGATCTCCTTGATCTTGGAGCCTCCCTTGCCGATGAGCGAGCCGCACTGCGACGCGGGTACGATGAGCCGCAGGGTGATTGGCGCACGAGAACCGCCGCCACCGCCTTCATTGAATTGAGAGCACCACTGTAAAACAAAACATGGTTTATTGTAAACATACTAGTTCTAATATCCAGAGATTAAAGGACAAGAAGTAAAGCATAAAAAGAGTTAAAATTCAACTCATAAAGTCGACTCATATAATTTCATATTTTTACATAAAGACCAGAAGAGACAAGTTTATGTAGCTATGAACAGCGTGCATACCACTATACAAAACGTAAAATTGGATATCTTTGGCCTTTGTATGCCTTGTTGGATAGCTTGGTTACCTTTACGATATCGAATCAAAAAGCGATCTAATGTCAAATATCTACCTACCAACACGCCGCTAATACTTTTTACTCGACTGCGCAATGCAAGAGCGAAGCGCGACGCCCAGATAGGGTATAGAGTGTTTAACAGTCGGGACCCATTAGATATTCAATGGATCAACTTTTTTCAATAATGGGTCCCGACTGTTAAACTAGCTTTTGTTCCTTACTTAACAGAATGATAGACTACTGGACTTCTTTTCTTCCTTTCAGTTTTATTGAACTAATATTGAAGCAGTCGGATTTTGTGATTTTATAAATTAACCTTTTTTTTCTTTTCCTCCTAAGTTTTATCTACGTTTATAAACACCAACATTCATCAACATTTTTGGTTGAGTAATCTATGCTTTAGTTCTTGTTTTGAGCCAGAGACACTAAACCACCCATGGATATCGGCAGTTGACTGAGCGTCATTTGCATGAAGTAACAACTCTTAAGAAAAATGGAAAGAGCAATGGTGTAGTTGATGCCTATACGCATTATTTACTAAACAATTTTTAGCCCCTATCAGGAGCCCAAGCACGAATTTTGACAGCTACATAATCGTATCCTCATAGTCAAATATTTTATGGAAGGAGCCAGTTTATTCTTACGTTCGGTAGGGGCACTGTTTAGGTTTCATAGAAACTTTTACGATGCGATACAATTACGGCACTGTCTAATTTCTCCTGGGGCTTCAGGGCACTTGTTGACGAGGCGATTTCAACCCGGATTTAGGATTTAGGCAGGGTTTTAAACCATGTCGTCAATCAAGTATGGGACACTGTATGTTTGTTAACGACACCACCGCCACTAGCGAGGGTTTGGGGTCGGTACAAACCGTGCTCGTGCACAAGCTCAGCTAACACCCGCACGGGTAAAAACAGTGCCTAGATCCGGCGGAAAACCTGTCGTCAACAAGCGCTTTCACACATGTCTACCCAATTTTAATTTACTGTTTGGACAGTGAATGTTCGGTCCATTTGTTTCCTATTTATCCTTCATATTGTCTTTAGATATTGGGTTATTTATCATAGACTGTGCAAGTGTGCATGCAATATTATTGTTCTTAAATGATAAAACTGATAATATTCTTTGAAGTGAACAACTTAGAATACTTGGTAATCGAGAATTATTAAATTAAATTATGCCTGAAGAAATTGATGAATAAAGGAAGCTAAAGTTTATTTGTATGTTGTGCTTTATGTAAGGTTGTGTTGCTTTAAAAGTAAGATAGTATTAGGTTTTTTGATTTCAAATTACTGTTATGCCAGCACTTAACTTGTGTTTGCTATTTATAAACTAGACATCAGTCTGTCCTTTTTATTCTTTTAAAAGCATGATAAGGACAGTTTGTTCTCAAGTTTACAAATAGCAAATACAAAAAAAAGGTAAATTTAAAAAATCAAAAAACCCGACTGCTTAATTATTCTTCAAATAAAAACTGAAAAGAAAAAAACAAGTCCAGTAGTCTATAATTCTGTTAATAAGGAACAAAGCTACTTTAACAGTCGGGACCCACTGTTGAAAAAGATTTAGTATTCTTGAATATCTCTCAAATAAAAACTGAAAAGAAAAAACAAGTCCAGTAGTCTATAATTCTGTTAATAAGGAACAAAGCTACTTTAACAGTCGGGACCCATTAGATATTCAAGAATACTTAATATTTTTCAACAGTGGGTCCCGACTGTTAAAGTAGCTTTGTTCCTTATTAACAGAATTATAGACTACTGGACTTGTTTTTTCTTTTCAGTTTTTATTTGAGAGATATTCAAGAATACTAAATCTTTTTCAACAGTGGGTCCCGACTGTTAAAGTAGCTTTGTTCCTTATTAACAGAATTATAGACTACTGGACTTGTTTTTTTCTTTTCAGTTTTTATTTGAAGAATAATTAAGCAGTCGGGTTTTTTGATTTTTTAAATTTACCTTTTTTATTTCACACTTTTTAGTTAGTATTTTAAGACGGTATATACCGTAGTCTTGTTACTTCAGTAAGGGAATTAATATCGCGGGAATTATTAAGTACCTTGCGTCGGTCTAAAAGATTGATTTATTAAGACATATAAAGACTTTACCAGTGGGGTCAAGGCTACAGATGGGCCTCAATTTTCGCAAAAATGTGTGAAGTTAAATCAAGTCGTTACATAAATATCTCTAATGTATGTAAATTTTATAGTAAACTAGCACTTACTCAAAAAGTCATTTTTTTATGTTTTTTTTAATAGTTTAGCAGTAAATATAAAATTCGTTTACTTTTATTCGTCGACTATTTAAAATTGGCAGTGGCTGCATTGTTATGTCAATGCCGGACGTCTAAGATTGTGATATACAACATAAATTCAGTGTCAGTCCCGAGTCTCATAATTTGATATACCTACATAATTCACAGAAACCCAATATGTAGATGCCAGAAGTTAACTTCAAATGTTTTTAATCATCCTATATACAATACCAATCAATGACGTTTATGTCGCAGGTTGAAGAAAGAAGTAATTCCCGTCTGTTGTTTTAACAATGGTGGCAACTGCCTTAGATCACTAAATTAAATAATTATGCAATCACCAACGCAAACTTTATAATATTTGATTAAACTAAAGGCGCATAATAAAATTTTCATAACGTTAGGTAGAGCACCATAGCAATCTCATTTATTATCAATTTATAGTTCTCTTTGTAGTTTTCTTTTAAAGCGTTCACATTTAACAGGTCAAAGACTTTGTGTTCAACCCTTTTTTATTGGTACCTAGTATAAAGCTCGAATGAAGAGTACTCCCAGTAGTGCAATCATGGAAATTATTTTCCAAACTTTTTTTTGTTATAAAAATATCGAATAACGTATCACTGTTAAGCACAAATGCTAAGTAACTTTTACAAATATAATCAAATAAACATAATACTTACTTTATTTTTAAATCTTTTTTATGAATTAAATACTTATCTTATCCTAACTATCTATACTAATATTATAAAGAGGCAAGATTTGTATGTTTGTAACAAATAATCTGTCAAACTACTGCACCGGTTTCAAATATTAATTCACCATAAGGTAGCTACATTATTTATTATAAGTTTATAACATTTTTTTTTATTTAAATACATTTTGTCCGAGTGACATAGGCTATATTTTATCCCGATAAATAAATTTCGCCCGTACAATGTCCGGGTGGATCACTAGTAAGTATAATATAATATTATAGATGCGAAAGTGAGTTTGTTTGTTGCGCTTCCGTGCCCTAATAGCTAAATCGAATATAATGAATTCCCATATAGAAGTAGATGGGAACTTGGTTCTTAGCTACAACATCGCAACTTATAGGCGTAGGGTGATGAAAGGGGTGATTTACCTATAAAAATCTACATTATTTACTTTGAATTTTGCAGAATTATTACAAAACCAATATAACAATTTTTGTAACCTTAAGCAATATCGTTAAAAAAAATGAAAAACAGTAAAATTCTGAGTTTTTCATTAAAATTCAATAATCATAAATACCTATTATGATAATATATTTTTCATCATTTAATAAGAAGGAACTGTATCACAGTTTTAATGTTAGTACTTCGTATAGGATCAGATACTGCGAATACCCCATTTTATTTTCTTTTACATAGTACACCGCGCTATCACTTGGTCATCGTTGTAACTTTTTAAATATTTGTCGAAATGACATAGTGTAAAAAGCAAAGTTTATCGTCTTTAAATATCAAAAGCGATTAAAGTATTTGTTTTGATAAAAAAATATTTGTTAATACAAAATGTGCATTTTGGAAATAGATATCAAATAATATTTTAGTTTTGATTCACTATTTTAGCGGTAATTATTTACACATTAAAAATAGATATATGGTGTCACGGACTTTTTTTAGAACTATTTAAGAGATACATTTTCACTCTACATTACATTTATGTAACTTTTATTTATTTTTGCAGTGCAGACCAAAATGGCTCGCAGATGGGACATTTTTTTCCGTCTTATGTGACACTTATTGCTATATATTGGCCAATTCACTCAATAACTACATAAATTATTATATATATGTAATTATCATATATGAGCTATATTACTGTTAAATTTCATTAAAATCCATTCAGTATTTTTTAGGTGAAAGAGTAACAAAGATCCATACAAACGTAAGATTGAAATTAAAAGCGTAAGTGGTTAATATACAACTTTAAAGCGTTGTAGATCCTAAACAATCATATAAAATGAAAAATGGTGTTAGGAACCTAAATATGATTTTTGATTATCTAGACAGTGATACCCCACTCGACATATTTTGTCAACTTTTTTTTTTTACTTCGTCACAATATGGCGCCTAATTTTGCCCATATTGAATTTTGATTATTATCATATCTTTAGTAGCACTCCCATGATTGAGACGAATCGATTGATGTATGAATCATCAAAATCGGTCCAGGCGTTTGGTCTCTAGTGTGCCACAAAGGAACAAACATACATATATAGACTGTTAAACACATAACCCTGTCTGCGCGTCGCGCTTCGCGCTCTTGCATTGCGCAGCCGGGTAAAAAGAATATGACAAACCTCTTCAAATTTCTTGCATATGAGAGTGAACGCTTTGAAAATAGCACTTGTGTTGCCTGTGACAGTGACAATACGCTCTGGGCATGATCCATCTGAAATGTTGATTTTGGCTCCAGACTGAAAAAAGACAAAAATGAATTAAACCACATTCACTTTATGTTTAAGAATTTGTTTTTTGTAGTTCAATATTAATAACTCACCTCTTCTCTAAATCTCTTGACAATTTCTCCTTTCTTTCCAATAATACTTCCCACTTCCTGAAAATAAGAGAAGCATACTTATATAAATCAAATTTGGTATTCATATCTCGCATATTTAATTAGTTACACTGAAAATAGCATGTAACTCTGATAGATTGGCAACCATTGTGCAACAGTCGCAAGTGTAATTAATGCAGTACACTAAGATTTATAGTACAAAAGATTTCCTGTCTGGTGGCCAATAATAGTTACAGCTCTGATTCTTTGCAACAGAAGATGCATTGGGGTTGCGTCAAGACGGTTTTAGAGTGCCTGTAACGTATGCTTCTTTCCTGGCAACAGGGCATGTTGACCTGTACAGTATGTGAACAATGCTGTTGCGTGTAGCCGTCGATGCGCTTCATGGCGACATAAATAGAGCCGACTGATGAAAGCAGGGGTTCAAAGAACTATGATACAACTCCCAGACATTGATTAAATGCATGTCAGCAAATAAGATAGTTGCAAGTTATGTAGACACATTTTATTTGTATTGTAAAGTTGCAAGATGATGTTGATGTGGCATTTCTGAAAGTTATTGTGAATATATATTTCTAAATTTGTGCATAGAAATAAGTAAGCTAGTCTGAGTGATTATGAAAGTATATTGAAGATTTTTTAGTGATAAGGAAAAGAACAATAGCTTTTGTTTTTGACCACTGATGGTTACAAAATATATAAAAATCAATATAACTATTAGTAGTATTTAGCTTATGTTACTCATTAAAAATGTGTTATTTTATAATGCTCTTACAATAACCAATCCACACCATTTGTTTGAATTTCCATGGACTAATAATAACAAAATGTTTCAAACTCAAGACACTTTAATTAGAAAAAGATACAAATCGACAAGTTTGATGAACAGGGCAAGTGCCAATATCTGGCTGGGTGCCAGATGTACTTTGTATTGGATTACAGCCAATTAAAAGTATGTAGATGTAATAGTAGCATATATATGTTTGTTAATATCAGTTCAGCTCTCATGTCATGGCAATCTGAATGCATCTAGGCGGACCAATTTAGCTTTGGAAGTAAAATAAAATTTTATAATTAACTTTTAACGTATGTCCCATTGTGTTACTTTTTTTAAATATATTCAATCCATTCATTAGAACGGTAAAACTGCTGTTTTTATTTTATTTTCATTAGTATAATATCTAATTACATTGGGCTATGAGAAAAAACATGATACAAGTAATTCATAGTAAATAGGGTAATAAAGAGAAAGCCTAGTCGCAAAGCATGCCTATATGATTAACAAATAGGATCTTGTATAGTGCATCCATACAAGTGTGTATTTCTCTAACAAGATTAAAATACAAAAGTCATATTAGATTACCATACTTTCAAACAAACAACTCTTTCATAAACAATGACATGCAAATGAGGTTTTCTATGATGAATAGGAAAAGCATTAATTTAGGTAAGTAGGCAATATTATAATGAGCATATACAATTATACATGAGTGGAATGCTTCTGAAGTACTTTAAATTTTTTACTACAGTTACTACTTTAAATTATATTATACATATAATTAATTAAGTATAATCTCTGTATTAATATTATTATTTTTTGTAAATTTACCATGCACTAAGAAATGAAACATGATTATTTGAAAAACTATTTAATGTTAAAAAGGTGACAAACATTTTTTAGCTTTGCCTCATAGGAAGCGACTGCTTTAACAGTAAAGCAGGTTAACTTGTGCATTTACTTTATCCACCTACTCACAGCAGCAACACAACATTTTCGTAGAAGGTTGATGAAATTCAAGCAGATAATCTTTGGTATCCTACATCTCTAAATAGTTTAAAGCACCTCTGTTAAAAAATGTGTTGCTTTCTGTGCAATATTTTCAGAATTTTGTTCCAGATGTAACATGAGTAATTTCAATATTATACTTTCATGAAAATGCCAGATCGTGGTTACTTTCATGTGGTAATTATCTACCACCATCAATATAAAGTATGAAAGATGATGATTGTTGTTATGTTATAAGATTGGACTTCTATTTATGATTTAATGAAAATATTCCATTCCAAACATTGTAAATAAGGGAAGTATAACTAGCTACATGATAACACAATTTAGAAGAAGGTAATGTGTACACTTTCACAAGATAGAAACCAATTTCAATAAACAATATCAATCATTAATTTGATGAAAAGTAAGTGTTCTCTCTTACCTTCCCCTGCATAATCAGTCTGATAGTGAGGGTAACTTTGGAGTCTTCCTCATGAAGATTGGGAGATTTCTCCAGTTCCATGCTGGAGGAGGTGTCCGTAGTGTCTCGTGGAATTTTGGCTGCGTACAGGGCTACGTGTGGGTGGACACAGGGGGCACTCCACTCAATCTAATGGCTGGGACTCTGGGGCTCTTGGCACGCACTGCAGGCAGGGTAAGCTGGAAAACAGGCGCACGTCTCAAAAGGAATGCCGATAGGTAGAGTGTACTAAGGTATGGGGTATGGGCACGCGTCCATTTATTAAAAGCGAAGCTGATTACCGAATATTTATTTACAGTGGCGGACTGTTGCAAGCGTAACGGAATAAGGGCGGTAAATGAGGTACTAGACGCTATTATAAACTAACTGGTCCTAGGACCGACCGGATTCTGCAGATGTGTAATGTGAGTCGGTGTGCTTCGCCGGGACCGTTACTTGAACTCCGATACCTGTTCGCTACTCGCGACATAACCTCAGCGTCGCGCCTCATGGCTAGCCGACCGGGTTATCGATCCCGCAAATACCAAACAATTCCTTATAACAACCACGGGATTCACCTTACCTCGTTTAATTATCCACTGTGCAACAATAACATAACAAATCTTAACACTAGTAATATCACCAATATGTGTATGAAATTCACACTTATCACAATTTACTTTGTTACTAATTTATAATTAAAAAATTAAATAAAATCCGACGGTGACGCGTCGGACTGAAGCTTGGATGTCAAAATGCCATAGAATAAACTACGATCCGCGCGGCCGGCAAGCAATCTTTGCTGTCTATGAAATAGCGGGGCTGCCAGCACTAGTTTTAAGATTTCCCTGTGAAATGCACTAATTACCTCAAAATTCCACATAGGTTAAATTAATTGAAGAAATCCAAAAACTATGATAAATATATAATGTAAAACCCAAAATAGCTTTATTGGTTAAATATTTATAAATACGAAAACAATCATAGAAGCGACTTGCTAAAAATTTATATTTCGGGTCACTATAGCCAGTGTTGCCAACTACTAGCATTGCCCAGTTACTAGACATCTTGCAAAATGTTGCTAGATCGTCAGTTTTTATTACCCCATAAAGTTGCTAGAAGTAGCTAAATCTTCCAGTAGGTAAAAAAGATACTATATTACAAGAAGGGATATCAACACTGACCGTAGATGCATAAAAATCAGTTTCAGACCTTTATTTTAAAAAGAAATAGTTATAAACGTAAAATATCATACAAATTTTTCCCGTCGAAAAAGTCTGATTTCAACAAAACGAGTTTTAAATTTACGTACCCCTTTGGAACTCTACTTTCTGTCTAAGTTTTTTGTCCTAGTATGTTTCTTTATGACAAATAGTTTAAGAAGAATTTCCGTAGAACAATTAGTACAAAACGCTGTGCTTGAGTCTCCAATTGCTGCTTTTAACCAACCTGTCTGTATTTCTGTACATATGTTTTTTTTTCAAGGGTAAACCCATCTTCACATTAAATTAAAACAGCGAGCATAAGTTTTATATGGATAAAACAAAAAACACTGCGTAGAATACGAGTGGTGCGTACTACTTTGGTTTAGTAAATAAATAAGTACCCACGTACGTCACGTTCTGTTATAGTGCATTCTGTCGTAGCGCAACATTAAATGGGGAATTCCCGACAAAGGCCGACCTACGACCGATACCAAATCATCTTTAATTTTTTTTTAAGTCGCGTTCGGTTTTTAATTTTTCGTTAAAGATTTGGTGCCCTACTCTATGAATCTCTCATGATGAAATGAAAAGTTGCTAGAAAAAATAGCTAAATAGTTTAGCTTCAAATTTTATTAAATTGTAACTGTTCATACTACTGGCAGCACTAAACCATAGCCAAGAATTTATATCCATTGCCAATAAATTAAAAAAAAAAACAAGAATTTACCGAGTACAGCGTGGAAAAGCACAGTGAGGTGCACGCATGAACTTATTGTAATTAACCGACTTCAATAAAAAAGGTAAATTTAAAAAATCAAAAAACCCGACTGCTTAATTATACTTCAAATAAAAACTGAAAAGAAAAAAACAAGTCCAGTAAGTAGTCTATAATTCTGTTAATAAGGAACAAAGCTACTTTAACAGTCGGGACCCATTAGATATTCAAGAATACATAATATTTTTCAACAGTGGGTCCCGACTGTTAAAGTAGCTTTGTTCCTTATTAACAGAATTATAGACTACTTACTGGACTTGTTTTTTTCTTTTCAGTTTTTATTTGAAGTATAATTAAGCAGTCGGGTTTTTTGATTTTTTAAATTTACCTTTTTTATTTCACACTTTTTAGTTAGTTAGTATTTTAAGACGGTAACGTATCACTGTTAAGCACAAATGCTAAGTAACTTTTACAAATATAATCAAATAAACGTATTACTTACTTTATTTTTAAATCTTTTTCATCAATTAAATACTTATCTTATTCTAACTATCTATACTAATATTATAAAGAGGGAAGATTTGTATGTTTATAACTAATAATCTGTCAAACTACACTTCTGGACACATCTATTGGCCCACCTTGTATTTTCAGTTTCGTTTGGTCCTAGCTACCTGGCTCGGAGGTACCTAGAGACTGGCGGCTTTGTTCGTCGCCAAGGAAGGCCACGATCTCGGGTCACAACTGAAAGGCAGGATCAATTCATCGTGACGACCAGCTTGAGAAATCGTCACCTTACCTCCATTGAGATACAAAAACAAATTCGCGACTTCCACGGAGTATCTGTGAGCGCTCGAACTGTTCGGAGAAGGTTAAAAGAACGCGATATGGTACCACACAAGCCAGCTAATGGGCCCAAACTAACGCGAACCGAACAGCGCGCCTTCATTTCGCACGCAGTCATTTAAATTGGACACAGTAAGATTGGAGCCGTGTACTCTTTTCTGATGAGTCTAAAATTGTGTTACATGGCAATGATGGAAGGAAGAAGGTCTACCGACGTAAGGGAGAGCATTTCGTACAATGCTCCTTTGAAGAGAGGGTTGCTTTTGACCACGGCTGCCAACATTAAATGCTGAAAGGTACATTCGTGAGTGCTTAGAACCTCACGTGATACCATACGCGGACTATGTGGGCCCATATTTCCTTTTTATGCATGATAATGCAAGAGACCATGCGGCCGGCATCGTCAGGGAATATCTTCGGGATGTGAACATCACAGTTATGGACTGGCCAGCCAGAAGCCCAGACATGAACCCCATTGAGCACATGTGGGACGAGCTAAAAAGACGTGTTAGGGCTCGTCAGCCAGTTGCCCAGACGATGCAGGAGTTGAAATCTGCCAGAGAAGAAGAATGGGAGATGATCCCTCAAAATTTCATAGAACGGTTGATAAACTCTATGCCTAATCGTATGAGAGCTGTGGTAGATGCCCACCGAGGCAATACGCGTTATTAAATTAAACCTGTATTTGATAAAACATGTTTTTTATTCAGAAATCAATTGCCTTTAACAAGGCGCATATCCGACTTGTTAGGCGTAGCTCCATGTCGTATGGTATTCTGAATTCAAATTTAAAACAATACGATCGAAAAAGATGGTAAAATGTATCAGGTTTAAAACTACATCAACAGTTTTTGTTCAATATAACAATCATATTTCGGTAGGGGCCATCGAAACCTAAACTCTAAGGTGGGCCAATAGATGTGTCCAGAAGTGTACTAAACCGGTTTCAAATACTAATTCAACATAAGGTAGCTACGTTATTTATTATAACATTTTTCTTTATTTAAATACATTTTGTCCGAGTTACACAGGCTATATTTTATCCCGATAAATAAATTTCGCCCGTACAATGCCCGGGTGGATCACTAATAAGTATAATATAATATTATAGATGCGAAAGTGAGTTTGTTTGTTGGGCTTCCGTGCCCTAATAGCTAAACCGAATATAATGAATTCCCATATAGAAGTAGATGGGAACTTGGTTCTTAGCTACAACATCGCAATACATATAGGCGTAGGGTGATGAAAGGGGTGATTTACCTATAAAAATCTACATTATTTACTTTGAATTTTGCAGAATTATTACAAAACCAATATTATAATACATTTATATAACATACAATAATCATAAATACCTATTATGATAATATATTTTTCATCATTTAATAAGAAGGAACTGTATCACAGTTTTATTGTTAGTACTTCGTATAGGATCAGATTTTTTTTTCTTTTACATAGTACACCGCGCTATCACTTTGTCATCGTTGTAACTTTTTAAATATTTGTCGAAATAACATAGTGTAAGAAGCAAAGTTTATCATCTTTAAATATCAAAAGCGATAAAAGTATTTGTTTTGATAAAAAATGATTTGTTAATACAAAATGTGCATTTTGGAAATAGATATCAAATAATATTTTAGTTTCACTATTTTAGCGGTAATGACTTACACATTAAAAATATATATATGGTGTCACGGACTTTTTTTTAGAACTATTTAAGAGATACATTTTCACTCTATATTACATTCATGTAACTTTTATTGTTTTTGCAGTGCAGGCCAAAATGGCTCGCAGATGGGAGATTTTTTTCGTCTTATGTGATACTTATTGTTATATATTGCCCAATTCACTCAATAACTACATAAATTATTATATATATGTAATTATCATATATGAGCTATATTACTGTTAAGTTTCATCAAAATCCATTCAGTATTTATTAAGGTGAAAGAGTAACAAAGATCCATACAAACGTAAGATTGAAATTAAAAGCGTAAGTGGTTAATATACAAATTTAAAGCGTTGTAGATCCTAAACAATCTTATAAAATGAAAAATGGTGTTAGGAACCTAAATATGATTTTTGATTATCTAGACAGTGATACCCCACTCGACATATTTTGTCAACTTATTTTTTTTACTTCGTCACAATATGGCGTCTAATTTTGCCCATATTGAATTTTGATTACTATCATATCTTTAGTAGCACTCCCATGATTGAGACGAATCGATTGATGTATAAATCATCAAAATCGGTCCAGGCGTTTGGTCTCTAGTGTGTCACAAAGGAACAAACATACATATATAGACTGTTAAACACATAACCCTGTCTGCGCGTCGCGCTTCGCGCTCTTGCATTGCGCAGCCGGGTAAAAAGGAGGAGGTTCTTAATTCGATAGTTTTTTTTGTGACATGTACACAAGTACACATGTATGAGATTTTTATCCTATTTACGTAATCTTTTTATGATATGTAACATCTTTCCTCTCGCTTTCCTGCAATTTGTGGGAGTGATTTCGTGAAATGGGACGGAAGTGTGTAACAGGAAGTCGCGAAAGCGCGCGCTATTTGATTTGATTTTAGAACATAATGTTCAAATGGTTTATGGCTTTTGTATTAGATTTTATTTCTTTTTTTACTAATATATGCTGAAGTTTCAAATGTTACACATCATACGCGACTAACGTAAGGCTCGTTTAAATTAATTATTATCTGATGCGGATCAGTTGTCTTTTAGTCCCATAAAAGTTCAATTTAGTTCTGGCATAAAGTAGTTTTTATTTTACTTTAATTACGGCACGTAATTTCTGTGAACGGCTTCTTTGTACGAAATACGAAAGAGATATTTCAAGCCAGGTACCTATAGGTACTTACAAGTACAAATTAAGACCAATTAATATTTATTATGCTTGTTTGATAGATCTGAGTTTCCCATTATTTTAAACGTATTTGACACTTATGCAAAAAAAAAATACATATTTAGATTTCTTAATTTTGAGTGGTTTTGTTTTCTTGTAGCCGGTTTATTGAAGT